TTGGCTTTTAGTCGGTTAATGCACAGCAGACATTGCGGTAGCTCTATATTTCCATTGCAAGCGATTGAAAAAAAGACCGGCACAAAGAACTAATAGTCTGTGGGCCTCGATGACAAAAAATCGAAGGCAATGAACAGGAGCCGGGATAGCTCAGTCAGCATAAGGACTGGACGACTGGGGTTCGATCGCCGATGGGGCCAGAGAATTTTTCCTCTAGCACCTGCGTCCAGACCCTTTCTGGGGCCCACCCAGCCTCCCAACTAATGGGTACCGGGGTCCTTTTCCAGGGGCCATGGCGTGGAGCGGGACTGCTTATTTTTTAAAAGGAAGTGTAAGCTACTTGAAAGCATGGGCGTAAACTTGCACTTGCATATAAGCTCAAACATGAATCCGTATTGAAGTTCTGAAGAAGTGCGCCACGAATTCTGGGTTTCGGCAGTATATACGTAGATGGCAGCAGTCAGTGATTCGACGGCCAGCAATCCAGAAGTTTGTTAGGGATTTCCTCAATCATTCGATGCAAATGCAGACATCGATGGTATCATACCAGAAGGGCGTATCAACATATTTGCATTATCGGAAATATGTGGTCTAACAATATAAAAATAGTGGAATGTATGTATGTATGTCACGCCACAAGCACGCAATGCTCATGCCGCTCTACGCAGATATTCAGACAGTTAGTATCGGCGTATGAACACGTTTGTCAAGTCGAAATGAGCCTAAGAATTTAGTATACTGTAACAGACCGTTTTGTTGATACGCCCTTTTGAAATTATACCCTTGACACAGTATCTTAAAATATGCAACGAATGTTCCATTGCGTCTGTCATGTAACGACGTTGACAAAACCTCCTTCAGTTACCACGTAACAACAAAGGGACATGAGATACAAGTCTGTTTCTCCTCCAACTGCTGTCCACCTGATGAGTTGAGCGGATTCCGTATTGGTTGTAGATCACACATTACCTAGTTCGGAACTCGGCCCAATGATTTGTTGAGGTGTTCGTTATTTTTCTCAGCCTCTACAGGCAAGTGCCAGAATAATACCGTGACACAGACCACAATGTTATCTTTCAAAATCCCTACTTGTTCATTATTCGTCAACAACTTCGCATTTCAATCCACGTCATATAAACTACATTACTGAAACAGCATAATTAACAACCTAAGCGTCGGTTAATGTGCCCGGTGATAAGCAGCTTCAACAGTTGATACATCCACGACCTCCCTCAAACCCCAAGTCGCGTGGTCCTCTTTAAGTCCACCCCAGTTGACAGCTGCTATGGGTTACGAGGCGCATCCAATCGATAAACATCCAGTCCGTCCATACCCACGTGCTTGAACGCGGGGGTGGAACCCGTAGTAACCGTGGCAACACTGCACGTGCTACGTCGCGCACATATGGAACGGGAGAACGTCTTGTCGGGGCATTCTTTGAAAAGTAGTCAAAAAGTCAAGACGTTCCCTTCTTTTCGGAACCAAATGTCTCATTACCGTGTTCACAAAACCCTGCTATTGGGGCTCTACCCTAAGTCAACTGAATGCAGCCCACAGCTTCAAAACCTCTTCATATTTATTTTCTAAGTACTATTTTAAAATTGTTGTCCGATCTGCATATAAGTATCGCAAATAGAAGACATAAGAAAAAATAAAGCAAAAGAATGCACTTTAGTTGTTTTAGGTAGAAATGGATGGGACATAAGGCGCGCAAACATAGATTCGATATAAAAGTATATCCTGAAAATGGCTTCAAAATGTTTCAAAAAGGCATTATAAAAACAACAGGCCCATGTCTTATCTAAATACGTTATACACAGTCTACGTAACTAGCTTTCTTTCAGCCATACCAAGATTATGTTTGAATTACAAGGCTGTAGCACTGCAACAAACGCACAGACTGATGTGCCATCTAGCGTATCCTCAGTGCGTCCACAATACGAAAACAGCTGAACTGCTGTGACCCGCATTAATAGAATGGAAGGTCAGCGGACAGAATTGAAGGAAACCCCTTCTAACTACAAGTTCCTGCCGTTGGTCTTTGCATGGGGCCTATAATAAGACGTCGTATATTTCTTGCTTTTTTTTCGGGATATTAAATATGTGAAAAAGATGTCTGTGGAACCACGGTTCCGGAGAATTTGACGTAAATACGTCTATACGGAAAGGAAGTTTATATATTGGCTGTGGTAGCTGAATGTAATGTAATGTAAGGTAGGGTAAGGTAATGTAATGTAATGTAACGCTTCCTAGGTAACAACAATGCTAAGTAAACAGATGACGTTTCCTAGGTAACAACAATGCCGAGTAAACAGATGACGTTTCCTAGGTAACAAAAATGCTTGAATGCTTAACTTGAATTAGTTACGCTTAAGATGGGTCTGTTGTAGATGAATGTAATGTAAAGTAATGTATTTTAATGTAATGTAACGTTTCCTAGGTAACAACAATGCTAAGTAAACAGATGACGTTTCCTAGGTAACAAAAATGCTTGAATGCTTAACTTGAATTAGTTACGCTTAAGATGGGTCTGTTGTAGATGAATGTAATGTAAAGTAATGTATTTTAATGTAATGTAACGTTTCCTAGGTAACAACAATGCTAAGTAAACAGATGACGTTTCCTAGGTAACAAAAATGCTTGAATGCTTAACTTGAATTAGTTACGCTTAAGATGGGTCTGTTGTAGATGAATGTAATGTAAAGTAATGTATTTTAATGTATTGTAATGTAACGTTTCCTAGGTAACAACAATGCTAAGTAAAAAGATGACGTTTCCTAGGTAACATAACAATGCATGCAAGCTGACCATTGTTGTCAGTCCATATTTACAAATTGTTGATATTTCCTAGGTACACTTGTTACACTTTTCGTTTCCCTTTTTCGTTACACTTTTTGCCGAATGACCCTTCCTTATAGACATATTTACGTCAAAAAAATAGTGTGATTCAATTTATAACATTTAACGAGGCAAATACCACTTTCGTTCCTCTGAACAGTGTTTTCAAATTTTCGCATAGGTCCTCTATAGCTATTTAATTTCGTAGGCCAACACTAATGGCCTTTCTTAAATTCCTCAAAACCACTTCTGCAGATTTCAGTTTGCCAAAATGACAAAGTCAGCTGACATAATGGAATAGAGAGAAAAAATATTGGGCCAGAGAAATTTATAAAGAGCTGAAAAGGACTAATATTAAGCAAACGAACTGGAATGATGTATTGACTGGAGCAGGGTGTTCCAAACGTTTTGTTCCTTGAAGCCATGAAAAATGTCCCCATTATACCCAAGTGCCAAGAAATCCCACTTGTCAATATTTCTGAAAAAAATATTCAAATATCGTAGACTAATGTTTAACAACGCTTATTCCGAAGTGCCAAACTACTACAATATTTGCTCAAATACACATTTTATTGAAATGAGAAGTGCAAGAATTACTGTTGAGTTATGTATTATTTTAAATTCCCTTCTCTAACAGCGTGTATCTGACAAATATTTACCTGAAAAATTCACACAACACGGTACGTTTTAAAGTCAGTAATCTGCTGCTTTACATGAAGGTACACAACAGGCAACATGACAATCACAATCTTCTTAAATTCTTCAAATAAAATAAAATAAAATAAAATAAACGAGCATGCAGTTCCTAGTAACAAATTAACATATAATTTCGCGGGCCTAGTTACAATTGGTCTCGGGCCGGATGCGATAAGCGGGCTGCCAGTTAAACAATATTAGTCAGGAGTACGAGAACTTGAAACTTATGGAATCTGTGCTTTGGTGCCTTCATCATCAGGGCAATAAGCAGCTGAGTATCTCTGATACTTCAGTGAACTTTTATCAGACTACACAGCGCAACAAGAAGACAGCCATCTTCGGACTCGCCGCCACGAAAACCTAAAATCTCACCTACCTTCCTACCTTTTAAAAAACCCACAAAAACCGAAAAGCTTAACTTCAATTTAAAACTGAATTTCGTCTAAAGATAACATTTAATTATTTAGTCCTAACCGCAAAGAAAACACGTCTCCATTACAAAGATAAAATGGTTAATAATGTTTGAAGAAATAGTAGCAGTTTATTTTGAATATCACGCGAAATCAACACGTAACAACACTATGGAGGCCAAATGCAGAGGGCTTTAAAGGGTTAATTGTTTCGAAACAAGTGTAATTAGTTTCTTCTGATGCCTACGATGGCTTCGTCAAAACTGTTTGCATTCAAATGACTGCTTTGTTATTCTATTTATCTTCATTATGTGGAGCTGTTTAGCCACATAATTTGGCAGTCTTCAATCTTAGTGATATTTCAAACATCCAATTTGCTGTGCATTTTCTATTATCTGACATCCAGCTTTAGTAGAGTCCGTCGAAGCGCCAGTACATTATATTAATTGTAACCACGGCAGGCCGACTGCTGAAATTGGATTGTAGACCTCTAAAGGCACGTTACAAAAAACCCATGAATATATTATATGTATTCCGGTACAGAATACACTTTCCGATCGTTTTGTTTCTGAAACATGTCGATTTAAAAAAGGAATTGTTATAATAATGTGTTGTGATTGAAATTTTACATCTACACTCGTCTTTCTTCTGTAACAAAGTACCATAAATACTTAAACAGTGATTCCTACTTATTCGTTGTTTCTTTTTTAAATAATTTCTAGTAATTAAATTTTATTGTCGTGCATTCAAACAAACTTAGTTTCGTGTGGTAGAAATTTCAATTTTACGTTTATTTAAAATGACTGTTTAAAATTTGTGAGCCGTAATTTGTGGCTCATCGTCTATTTCGGTTAGAATAATAAGAATATAAATATTAATTGTCCTCTTAGTGTGACATGAATTATTTGTAACTACACTTTCTCAATTTCTAAAACCTTTTCTATGTAAACAACAAAATACAGATACAGAATGAAATAATCATGGCCAGAGACGCAGACACACGTACATGCAACTTAAGTCTACCAGCCACATAACAGCGAACAGCCTGCGACTCACCACCGTCGGCGTAGGTCTCGGAGCCATAACCGTCCTGCAGTCCGTTAGCCCACGTGCCTTCGTACCGAGCATTCGACGTGGACGACTGCCTCACGCCATAGCGACCTTTGAAGCCCTGCGTCCACTCTCCTCTGTATAGCCACCGGCCTCGCGTCTCCACTCCCAGACCGTGGCGTTTACCATTCTGCCACTGACCCTCGAACGCGCTCCCACTGAAACAAACATGGCTAATTCAATACCAGTTACCTTGTTCCTCGTCGCAGAAATCTGTTATAATTCTGTGTTCTTACAGTCACCGTCCGTTGATGCCAACTTATGGTTGTTGGTCCCATACTTTAGTCTGCAAACACTTCAGAAGATTTCAGGAAACATAATATCGCTGTCAGACAGAAATAACCTGAAAATACTCATTATATATACAGGGTGATTCAAAAGGTTCGGGCCAAACTGAAGGATCGTATAGAGGGACTCAGAGAGAACAACTTTCGAATAGGAATCCATGTCCTCTGAAGTTATCCTGAGTAAGTCGAGGCCATTGAAGGTAGGGAAATCTGGTAACATACCGCTGAAATAATCGTATATATACATATATATATATATATATATATATAAAACTTTTAACACACTGTAAATTTCAAAATTATTCGTAGAGAGATTTA